TGTGAAAATTCCAGTCTCGGGTCTCGTAAAGCTTTAACAAATGAATTATAACTCATTAATCGATGAGTTATATGAGCGGCAACAACTCAATAGCGCAACTCAACACAGTGTTACCCAGGCCTACTATAAGTCAGCGTTATTAAAACTGAAAATTTATATTAATGATTACTAAATCCATTCAAACTACTTTAATTATAAAATACCGAATTCACTTTCAAATCAAATGTTTCGAATTAAGTAGTGTAATTCGGAGCCTGCCCAATTTCGAAAATACATAAAAGTAAATTAGTTATAGAAGCCATCAATAGCGAGATTGAACGATAAATTCCCCATTAACCACTAATGATCTCGATCTGATTTGCAATTTAAATTTAATGTAATAATAAACACAAATTTATTACAATTTTTTTCCATCTAGTTTGATGAAATTGATCCAGATCATTGCCGATTTTCTAATTTTTAGTACTAAACCCTTTTGAAACAGTACATATTTTTGCCATAACCTATTCACTTTTTTTCACGCCAAATTTATTCCCATTTATTACGATTTTATATTTGTACCAACTATAACTAAAGCTGTATATATTACAAGAAACCAGAAGAAATGTTATGTTAGCGGACTTTTTATATGCGATTCCTCGTTGTTTCTTACTGCTGATACAAAGTATGCTCCTAATAGTGGAATCCCCCTATAATTGATTCGGAATCAACTTTCTTGGGAAACATCGTTATTTCACAGTTGAAACTGAACAAGAATAGACCTGTTTTCAATTAGCTGATACAAAACAAGCCTAGGAAGCTGTTTCCCCATCGAAAATGGTGGTCGCCGTAGTGACTGTGAATGCGTTTATTCTTACAGTAGGTAATCGCCAACTACCGCCTTGTACGGTTTGCTCTTCTTCATTAGCGTATACCTAGTGTATTTTATGTGGCATTTGACACTTTTTTTGGGTTTCCGTATCATCGTTTTTAGTGGCCTTCGCCTGGGAAGCAATTCAGTATCTTTAAGTGGAAGAACCGAGGAAAAAACTAGCGATTGAAATATTAACGCTCCTGCTTAGCAGTGTTGAACCATTCCGTCTGATGGGATGAAGGAGACTTTGATTATTTTAATTATTTGACTGTCACATATGTTGAACACCACTTGATTGCTTATATTGTTATGCTAATAATCACAACTTATTTTTGTTCATAGTTTACGCACCCATTTGGTTTTATATTCCGCGATTCTATGCAGCGATAAGCGATTACGTTAATTACTACAAATTAAAACGATATGTGCTCCGCAAATAATGCATTTAAATGGCATAATGAATATCTAATGGTTTATTTATATACCTATTAACAGTAGCTGTTTTCCTAACATTACAGCAACTACCTTCTTATAAACCAACTTAAATGTTAAATGTATGAGTTGTTAAATTAAACAGTGATAATTTTATTCCGCAAAAGCTACATTTAAGCAGAAATCTATACATTGTTGTACATAAAAAATTACTTTAGTTTCAAATTAGTTTAGTTCCTAATGTTGTAGGATTTTATATTCCTTTAAATTTGAAATCGAAAACCTTGCTTCTCTATAGGTACTCTCAAAATAACCATGCTAATGAAAGGAAAGAAAATGTTAAACCAGAATGTATTATGACCTGAATTATGTCGTATTTATGATTTCTGTTATGGAATCTTGGTGTCCCATTTTCATGTCAATTGAACAACACTGTTGTCTTCTAGTATATTATTTAAGAACAGCAACGGCTGGCAGTTATAGCATTAAAAGCAAGAATTCGCCAGTAGGCACCCATATACACATCCATATTTAATTCCATGAATGACCATCATAACAAAAATTAAATAGTTGGCAGGTAAATGCATAAATATACGTGAGGCTAGCTTGGAAGTCCATCCTCCATCTTCTATAAATCAATATTGCGGTGTACCTAGGAAATTACGAGAACAGTTAGGTTCCCCAAGGTGCTTCTTGAGCTCGGTAGGATCTTTTTCTTATTTTCCACCGAATGGGTGTATAAATAAACGCTTGTGCTGTTAGAATATCTTGATTTACAGGGTTAAGTGCCTGCCTAACCTGTGTATTCGTGCACTTTTTTCTTTATTTGGACGTTATTGACCTTGTTCATCTAAGCATAAATGCGGAATTAAGAGGAGCAGCTGAACTGTTATAAAACGGTAGAACATCGCTTTACAATGTTACAGTATAAAGCTGCTACACTGACAGTATATACATATATTAATTTCATGCTTTAATATTTAGGGTTTTATAAAATAATAGGAATTGTAGTTAAAATGTTGGGTTAAAATTGAGAGTTGGTGAAGTATTTTGTCATGACAAATTTTATTTTAAACTTGTCCTTTTTGAAAGAAATATATTTGCTTCTTAATTTTTAAGAGACATTTCCCGGTTGAACACATTACAACTTTTTAGGAAAATTACTTATTGCTCAGGCAAAGTTCATCACTTCAGATATTTAGTCCAAGTGAGTTTTTATTCGAAAAAATATCGTATGATATTTCTTGATTAATAATTTATATTTTCTTAATTATTTAACGCAAGTTCCGCTGGCACTGACTTTGTGTTAATTTATATTTGTTACATGTTTTTATTGTTATTCTTCGCATTACATGTGACGTTGAAACTGACTTATAATAATTCTGTATGATATGAGATAATTTTGATCAGTGATCCATCAAAATTACGTTAACTCTTCTCAACTTTTAAGGAGAACTAAAAGACAGAAAAATCGATTGGGTCGGTAGTCAATTTCGAAACTAATAAAGATTATTATTTTATTTTTTTACAAAGTTCCTTTTGGGTATTTCGCCTAAAAAAATTTTGTCTTTAAAAAAGACAGAATTTCCTCACGTCTTTTATTACAGATTGATAAATAGTGCTCCTATTTCGCAATAAGAACGAATTATTTATCAA